TATAAATATAAGGGCCAGAAATCAAAATTGGCTAACATCACATTTATTAAAAAAATGTGGCCAGAGTCGCCCATATTCATTACAAAAAAACAAAGAAGTCGTTGCAAAAAACACCCTTTTAATTAATGACAAATATGAATTTTTAATATTATAAGTGCTGTTAGCCAATAGGTATAACGAATGGGTTAAAAAAAAGATTCGATTTAGTCCGTCAGTCAGATAATAGAAAAATATTGGATACGTATTTTTTTTCGCTTTAATTTAACAACAAATGGCTTAAGAGGTACTATGCGACGACTTCAAATATGCTTTGCAACAATGTTACTTTAATACAGTTTATCGATACGAAATCAAGTGTCAAAATGGAGTCCAGTGGAGAATGCCGATATTGACATTTCGAAATTGCTCATCATTGATAGAGAATACGAAATAGTGATTTTGACACAATCAAAGTGTCTATTTTTTACGGTGATGACGATTCTTGGTTGTCAGTTGAGTTAGTGAATAGGCCTACTGATATGCTGTTAACTGTACAATTAAGAACAGTCACGCTTTAGTCAAATGTTCCAAAACAAATAATTTTAATTGATATCTAAATGTTAAGATTAAATATAATTAATAAAAGTATCAAAATTATTTTGCAGTACTACATTCAGTGTTTACTGCTTAAGAATTTTTGAAATTGCCGCCCTTTTCTTGTGACACGTTTCGCTTGCCAGACTCTAGCGAGCCTCCACTCCTCAACTTTAATGCCTGTTGTCTTACCTATTTCTTGTTGAATCGAAATAATAAAATACCTATCTTATATTTTTTTATTATCTGATTGACGGACTAAACAGAATTTATTTTTTTTACCCAGTCATCATCTTTATGGCAATGAGGAAGAATTAAAAAAAAACATATACCCAGAAATCAAACTAGATGTCGCTCATTTACCATGCGAGGCGTTTTCTTGTTGATCGAAGTTCAGTTTGGACGGACCCTGTATTCTGTGCCAATGTGTTAATAATTTCTTTTGATTTTTCAGGTACTTGTCACGAGCTTTTCTTATCTTATTGTTATTATACAGTTTCAGACTTAGATCAGATGGAACTTGCATCATAATATACTATCTAATAACGGTTATAAAAAATCTTAGCAAAATGTATTGTTTTGTACTATCAACTGCAAGTCAGGATTGATAAATCTGTCAAATTTATCCACTTGATTGAAACCTTAATACTTTGAGGGTATAGTTAAAATCAACTTCAGGAATTTTACATAATATTTTGGTAACCTGACGTGCATCCGTGTGCTTATTGTAGTTATCAAGATGTATGTAATATTAAAAATTACAATATTACATGGGATTCATTTACTGGACTAACCACAATAAGGAAGTATTTTAAAAAAAACGAAAGCACTTAAAAGCACCTCCACTAGATGGCAACTCTACCAAAGTTGATTTTTGCAGGAAAGGAATGGACCAAAGACAGTCATTTCCGTTCCTTTTGACTATATTAGGTCAATGCTTTTAACTAACATATTAAAAAACTGAAATTTGAAAAGTTCGGAACTAAGATATCAATGCAAATACGTAAAAGTACAAATAGAATATGAGTTGTTTATTGAGCTTTGATAACTAATTTATTTTTAAACATGAAAGGTTGTCATGGAGAAATCAAGAACGTACCGTAGCGACATCTAGTTTGATTTCGGGAACAAATTTTTTTTTTAAATACTTCCTCATCATCCTGTAACGATCATCATACGATTGTGAACTTAAGAATCGAAGGTATTTTTCGCAATTTATTTTGACAACCGAATTATTTACAGATTGCTCAAGAAATAGTGTATTATTATAATCTAAAACTCATTAGCGTGGAGCTATTGGCCGATAAAGGTTCTGTTTTACGTATGCATAAAGATTTTTTTGTACTCATCGATCTGTTGGGCGATATATGCTATTTCAACCCGGTTTGAAATGATATAAAAAATCAAAAATAGCTTTTTCATAAACAATATGAAACTCTAATAATTAAAAAAGTCAAACGTGACTGTAAGTTTCGATCCCTTGGTCTTAATAAATTACAACACAACAGCAACATTCCTAGGAGATTGCCAATTCCAATCATAGACATAAAAGAAGAGGACCGGCCATACCTACGAAAAAAGCGTATATGCCTAAACTTCAAATGCAAATTCTTCGATGGCGGATTGTCATAGGGCGTGACCCAAGATATCGATATTTGTATCGACATTGAAGTCATATTAAATAAAAGTTAGTATTTCGTGAAACTGCTACAATACTACTACTTATTAAATAATATAATATAATTTTCATTGTTAGGGGCATGGCTAAACTATTACCTATTACACTTCTGTTCATTTCACACTTACGTACCAATCCTATTTATGATTATTATTAATTAAATTGAAAAATTCACGCCAGTATCAAGAAAATAATATTTTTTTAAAAGTGGCGTGAATTTATCAATTATTTATAAATCATTAAGCAATCTTTTGCTCGTATTTTGTTGGACATCTAAAATTTCTTGCGTTCTTTGTTCTTGCGACTCCGTTGCGTCACTATAGTAAATATAACATATGTTACCAGCGTATGATGGCGCTTTCCACGGGTAAAAGATTATTCCTATTCCAAATTTCATCAAAATCCGTTCAGTAGTTTTTACATGAGAGTAACCAACATCCATCCTCACAAACTTTCACATTTATATTATTTAATAATATAATTTTATAATATGATTGAACCTCGATAAATATGTTTCTTTTTCCTCTAATATAGCCAATTTTACACAGTTTTAAGAACTATAGTACCAAAATATATATATCTTAAAAGTTTTACAATAATATCAATCGTGTTTTATAATTATTTCCATATATATTGTCAAGTTGATATTTTGCAATTATAATTAAATAGTTTTTTTAACATAAGTTTAATTTTGCATCCACGGGAAGTGTGACTACTGTCCAAGATAACTACCACGGTAACTATAATAAGCTTTTAATGAGTCGATTGACGAATGAATTATTATGCTTTTTTTTGTCTGTTATATATTTTTTATTGTTTTGGTGGAAAGTGACATTTTGGTCCAATGAAGTCATTTTTTATTTTTCAGTACTAAATTAAACAGGGTGCAAAAGCAGCCCTTGCAGTTTCTTACCGGTTCCTTTCTTACAGTTTCTTCTTTTCTCGGTACAAGGTTTCCCGTAATAGATTGCTGAACTATAAGCACAGAGTTTCGACTTTCTTATATGCTTGTAACTAGTAAGCCAACTTGTCTATAAATTTATTCAATAAATTGTTTTGACTGAATAAATTTCGCTTCCTCCTCATTAAGTGAGATACCGTGCGTACTGTGTCACAATTTTAGTTCAGAACATTTTGTTTAGTAGTAAACATAGAAAACTTGAAACACCTACATAATCTTTGTATTATATTATTGGTAAAAGATAAAAAACATAAAAATACTGTAAACTTTGATGAATAAACAAGAGAAAATAAAGAAAACAAAGTTGGTGATGAATAAGTAACAATTGGCATAACAGTAACATTATTGAAGAAGTAACAATTGGCATTTTATTTAAAAATTTGGTTAGCAAGAAGAAAACAGCCGATTAATCAATAGGCAAGCATACAAATATTTTCTCAGCACTAAAACAGTCTGCAATTCATGTTCTGTGAACAATCATGATAACGGTCAGCAATTTAAATTCAAAAAGGTAGCGTATTTTATGATGCATCAGCAAAATACCACGCCGCAAAATAATTATTTGGGTATTAAGATTATACTATTGAAGAGCAAAGAAAACCTTTAACTATGCCTTTAATTTGATAAGTGTGCATATTTTAATTTTTATTAAAATTATTAAACTCATTTTATTGTATATTTTACTGGGAGTATATTATGATCAGAATTTTATATTTTAATACTATTATATATTGCATTCTGATTTTTTTCAATTAAAATAGTCGTCATATGACCGCAAGACTAAAAATAAGGTACATTTATAGAATAATAAAATGACTATATAAAAAACTAAATAAATAAATCAGTAAAATCAAATGAAAATTAACTAAGTGTAATAGACATTTTTTTTTTAAATAAGTTAAAAGCAATTGTCAAAAATTTTTACCAGAGTATTTGATTGGATGTGCATCATCTCGTAATTTTATTATATTTAAAGTTCGATTCAAACAACTTTCCCTAAAATGAAGTGAGCAGATAAAAGTAACTTTTTCATTACATTGAATATTTTCTGCTTCTATGTAACTCGGCTATTTTCCTCTTTTGTTTCATCTTTTGGTAATCTAAAATAATTAATATATTTTTAAATATTAAAATTATCGATATAAACCATATGTTAAAGTAACGACACTAGCCATGTAAACAATATTATTTACGGACCGAAATATTATAAAAATATAAACGAAAAAAGCAATATAGCATAAATAGAACACGCCAAAATACGATATGTATCGATTTATACACGCAATCATTTTCAGAATAACTTACTTACGTTTTAAATACTGTTATTCCAAAAAAGTGTTTAACTTACCGATGAAACGTAATATTGCTCGGTTTGCGGGATATTGATGACGCACAACCAATTATACAGCACCTAGGCATTGTTTTGCATAAATAATTTACAATTTTCTGCCATGAAAGTTATATAAATTAAAGTTATAAATGAAAATAACCACAAAACTTATAACACTGACAGCTGAACTACTTCCGAGAATACGCAAAGCAAATTTGCAAATGGCTGACAGGTGGTACGATAGCTATATCTCATGACGCAACGTAAAAAATTTTGAACTGTCACACTAATGTTATCTTTGTTTACTAAAGAAACTTCTTATTAGTTAAAAAAAGACAACATGATGTTTATGATGTCAACTTCAGATTGCATGATATTTATATAACCATAGAAAATATTTCCACTCTACCTTACTCTATGATTCCAATCCAAGATTTGGCTGTATGGCTTAGTTCCTTCGCCTGTCCCATGGACGAATTATAATACTACTACTGCCAATTCCATTAAATTTTGATCTCTACTCTGAATGAGTTACGGTTTAAAATCACTTTGAAAATTTTACAACTTTGAATTTGTGTGTCAAATAATCTGTTTACTTTCTTTTTTTTTTTGTTAAATATGATAATTATTTCATTAAGAATCCAGAAGTATTCAACTCTTTGTTTTAGTTTTGTGAAAACACAAATAATGAAATCACGACAATCAAGCGACATGGTTAAATTTAAAGACACTTTAAAATCTGCGAAAAATATAGTTTTTCTATCTGGAGCCGGTATAAGTGCAGAATCTGGGATCCCTACATTCAGAGGCGCTGGCGGCTTGTGGAGAAAGTACCAAGCATCATCACTCGCCACGCCCGGAGCTTTCAAGAATAGCCCTAGCTTGGTTTGGGAGTTTTATCATTACAGAAGAGAAGTCGCCGCCAAAGCACAACCTAATGCTGTATGTCTATAATTTTTACTTACCAATATTAACACATTTTCAATATTCAGAATCGGACATTATATTTGCAGGGACATATAGCCATCGCCAATTATGAAAAGAAATATGGTTCTGAAAAAAGTATAACAGTGATAACACAGAATGTAGACGGACTACATGCTAGAGCTGGCACGAAAAAATTAATAGAACTACATGGTAATTTGTACAAAACTCGATGCATCAAATGTAAGGAAGTATTAGAGAATACAGAGAGTCCTATCTGTGAGGTAATTGAGGTTCAATTATTATTTAAAATCAATAATATACTTGCAGATTTAGCTTTATTTTTTTTTTGCAGGCCTTAGCAAACAGAGGAGCGCCAGATGAAAATATAATTGGTTCTGATATACCTATAAAGTCTCTTCCTCACTGTAAGAAACCAGGTTGTGGGAGTCTGTTAAGACCTCACATCATTTGGTTTGGAGAGAGTTTAGAACCTGAAGTACTGGAAAAAGCAAGTATGGAAAAGTTCCACTTGCACCATCCAGTGTGAAATTTTTTTGTTTGTATAGTGTGTTATATAGTGAGCATCAAGATATTGTACTATAATAGTATATTGTACTATAATAGTACATTCAAGTTATTTCACTTTAAACTCGAAGTGGCAGGACAAATTAATCTTGATCACACTACTTTGGCCTTCAGTTACAACTATCATCTTTACATTACAAATAGGACATGTAGCTCAATATTTCAAATGATTACACTATGCAATACAAAAAAAAAAAACTGATATCCGGAACAGTAATTTGTATTAAGCATACCTGGTGAAATACAGAAAACAGATTTATAGTTAGTATCACGTCACAAAAAATGGATAACGGCAATCTTAGTTTGTTTACTTTCTGTTTTACCTATTTGGGCTGGACATCGATGGTAACTGGGGCTATCGGGGAGGCAGAGGGGAATTCGCGAGTATTCACCCCAGGTGAATACCTCTATAAGATGGGCTTTGTCAGAGGGCAGTCTGATGGGTTGTCGTGCTCACTGGACATTGCACGCCCCTTGACCTGTCTGGGGGTTTAGACTCGAATGTTTGTAATCTGGATTTTTTTCCACAACTTGCCATGGTTAATCCAATAGCTACTTCATTATAAAGAAATCTAAAGTATAAGAAAATATTTACAGATCGAACACTAAGGTTGCTACTGAGAATTCGCATATGTGTATTACTACTTTTGTTACAACAATCTATGCAGAATCATAGATGGTTGGCTACAGCTTGCTGTCTTTTATACGGTATCTATTGGAGGTTATCTGTGAGTTTACCAAATTGGTGAAATAAAACTAAAAGCTTAAAACATCATTTAAATTGTAATTTGGTGTTTATTTTGCGACGTAATACATTAATTTTATTGCATCATGTTAACTTTTTGTAACAACAACACCGCTATACATGTAAATTTCTATCACATCTGCTCTGGCAAGTAACATGGCGATTGTGTATTTTTTACTTGATGTTTTTTTTATACCTTCCATAACTAAAATGATATAGTTTCTTAAATTGGCTCACAAACTCGTTTAAAAATATTCCAGGCTCATATCGAATTATTTCCGTTTTTCTTCTATTTGTATCAGGCTAATTTTGCAATTTATTTCAAATCAAAACTCAAAACCTATGAAAGTAGGGCCATTGTACTCACTGCTGGCTGTTTGTGGTCATAAGTAAGTTTTGCCATATTGTTTCGATTTCACTTTCTGTGTTTGTTCAATGTTTCAAACATAACCAGCTAATTAATTATAGTAGGTGCTTATAAATTAGCTGGTTATCATAGTATCAATCAAAGTTGCTTCTCCTGTCAGTAAGCAGAGTTCTTTAAAATTTTTCATTAAGATTATTTTTCGGCATAGCATTGTAAATGCGAAATTGATCAAATATACCTATATAATAAACATTGGTATGTTTTTGATAAAAGAATTATTCTCTACAATAAGGAAAGATGTTGATATTATACTCTTTGCAGGTACTGAGATGGAGCAGTGTGATGTTTGCATAGTGGTGGGTACTTCTTCAGTGGTGTATCCGGCAGCTATGTTTGCGCCCCAGGCGGCTGCACGGGGTGCGATTGTGGCAGAGTTCAATGTAGAACCTACTCCCGCTACTACTGAATTTCATTACTACTTCGAAGGCCCTGCGGGAACCACTCTACCTCTAGTGTTGAATGATTAGTTGGAAGGAAATGCAGTACCATGTATTTATGTACATATATATTGTTTATATGTTGTTATATTGATGTAAATGGAATTTGTCATATTGCGTAAATATAAATTATTTATTACAAAATATATTTTTGCCACTATTATTATTTACTAGCTTTCCGTCAGCGGCTTCGCCCGCGTGGAACCTATAATAGTTCCCTAGGGAACTATGGAATAAAAGTAACTAGTAAGTAGGGAATAAAAGTAACCCTATCTGTATACCAAACATCATCAAAATCCGTTGTCGTTTCGGCGTGATTGACGGACAAACATCCAAACAAAGAAACTTTCACGTTTATAAGTAGGATCAACAGGCATTTTTCTTTAAAAGTCCTATTGTTTTATTTTCTTTTTAGACATTGTTCTTTGGGTCCCATACTGTGACGTATATGACCCTGCTAAGAGTAGCCCATGACGTCACACTGGCTCGGTTAACAGTACTTTTAAAATTAGAAAATCCCGCTGATGAAATAGGGTGTTATTGGTTCGGACTGGTAAACAATAGCAAAACGTGCACACCTTACCGTCGTAGATTGTCCACCAACGCCTGGTATTGAGCCTCAGGAAACCGCTGATTTAGGTTGGTTGTCCCACAGAATTGTCCAGCATCAACTACGCTTCAAGATTTGCTAGCAGTTCAAATTTTCGTTTATCGTGTCGATAACCGGACCAATGCTTAAAGAGCGCAAAATAACGAATTGAGTAAGAATGAATTTTTGCACCGGCGAATATTTTATGTGCCGCAAGCAGAACCGCGCTTTTTGGTCCGCGCGGCTATTGGTTCGCTGTCGCGATACCATCAAACCCAACTCGGGAAAATTTCAAATTGTGTCGGTTTTAAAATGTGATTTTTTTAGGCGTTTCCGGTACTCGTGCGAGAGTCCGACTCGCACTTTTTCGCCTGCTTTCGGAACAGACATAACTTAATTACTGTTAGAATAACTTTGAATTGGATTAAATCATGCCTAAATGTTTCTACTGTACATTTGATCCAACATTGCTATTAAATAAAATCAATATATTTCGCAACGATTTATTAATAGATATTAAACGTCAACACGTAGTCTCTTTCTTTTTACGCCCATTAAAGAATTTTGCAATTCGACCAATTGTTACCCCGAAGGTGCAGTTCGTGGTCAGCGATTTCTGAAAAGAATATTGAATATAAAAAGATGTCTTGCGGCCTTGTTTTTTCGAATTGTAACAATTTGATTATTTCAACATTACCCGGGCGTGTCTAATCAACACACAAATAATACCTTCTCCTTTCCGTGAAAATACTGACCATCTGAACTGGGTCAGCCGGTAATTCACATAGAGGTAGGTGTAATTATTTTACAAAGCTAAAGTCTGGTAGTGCATCGCGAAATCTTTTTAGAGTGGTAACTTTTAAGTTTTACTAAACGCGTTAAGAGAAAGAATTCTTAACTAGGGAGCGCGTTATTAATTTGTATGGAAATTTGTAGTACTTGGTAGTAAACGCTAGGGGTGTTATACCGGATTCTATTCTATACTAAAATCTTAACGCACTCACGATCGACGATAAACGTAAACGTCAAAAAACAACTTTCACTGAGCGCTGTTCTGTTCCCAGGAGAGGAAAAGTATTATAGTCAACAGTAGATAATGGGTATGTATACAAAATAACATTCATTATATTATAAAGTGTAACATATTTCTGTTCGATTATTGCTTCAGATTTTACATACGAATGATCGTTTTTAATCATACATCATTATCATCATCATCAGCCCTTTCACGTCTCCACTGCAGGGGCTCAGGCCTTCCTTATGGATGGTTAAGGATGACCATAATCTTCCACGCTGACCCGACCCTTGTGAAAGTTGCTTAAAACAACGATCGCGGGTCACGGCGCTTATATACTTTTCCATCTACATTCGATGACTTATTTAAATTATCGCTATGAAGTTTAAAACTATTGTTTATTGAAAACTTACTTGAACGAAAGACGGCAAAGCGGACATAGTGTGAGGTCTTGAATATCTTTCATCTACTAGTAAAACACATGCATAATCATTAGCATGACGTACAGCCCTTCCTGGAAATATATAATGTAAGTTTTTTAAAAGAAAATATAAAGTCCGTGTGCGTGTTTCGGCCCCTGCAGATAGTGATGGTGCATTGTATATACGTAGCTAAAACAGCGTCAATTATACCATAGAATAGATTGACTGCATTAAATATTGAGTGCATTTTTATTCTATCCGATGTACAGAAAAGGGATGTAAGAGAACACCCTCTAGCTTCATAAGCCCCAAAACTGATGTGTTCATTGAGAAAGAAATTTAATATACACAGTCCCCATATAAAGTAATTAAACAAAAGTAATATAGAAACTTGACTATAAATATAAAACAATAGAATAATTGTTTCTCATATCACCTATACACTGATTGACAGCTTTCATGCATAAACTCTCGTAATACATATTTCCGGCGCCAGGACCACTGTATTTGTTTAAATAACTCATCTTTTCTTGTAATTCTGGAGATTTGATATTTGGATATGGCATTCCGAAAACCACAACGCAACGGCACAGATTGTCACTGCAAAGAAAATATGAATAATAAAGTATCAAATACACTTCTTTTCAATTAAATTAAATAATTTAAAAATTTCCATATAATAAAATTTATGTATGGTATGTGTATGAATAAGTATTGTTTAAAGGTAGCAGTTTTGATTATAAAAAGAGTAAAAGCATCTTAGTCTATGAGAACATGGAACTTTCAAAGGATCCTAAGCGTCTGAATAACGTACGCGTGTATTTTTTAATAGTTCAACAATACATGCTATAAAGCCGTTAATAAGTAATTTTATTAAATGTGTAGTGTTCGTAAAAATATATAAAAAAGTTACTTATGTAGGTATATTAAAAGTGGTCTGTGGAATATATTTAACCAATTCTTACCTAAAATTTAAGCCTTCACTCAATTTTCCACCTATTACACTCATCATTAAAGCACCGTTTTGTTCACCGTTACTATTTTTGACCGCAGCTCCGTATTTGCTTAAAACCTAAAGAACATTATAAACAATGGATTTGAAATAGTTATATCTTATTTTAATAAATTCAAATCATTTATTGAGTCTAAGCCAGGGATCAGGACACGCGAGTAATATGAGGCTTTTTTGATTTAAAGTTGCGACTCTCAGGTTTCATTTACAAAAAAACTGTTATTAGACATATTTAGAGACGAAAACCTGAGTCCTGCAATCAATCTATAATCCTATAACTATACTGATTGATATACCGACTATGGTTGAGAGATCTTAAATATATTAACAATTTTGAAAGGAAATGGTTGTTATAAATGAAACAACTTTTGAACGGTTTCATCACGCACAATTTTTTTTTAAATATTGTATAAAAACGTTTATATTTATCAAATTTTTCATAAACGTTTCCAAAAAATATAAAAATGTTTGTATTGCGAATGTGTCCAACAGTATTGTTTTGAAGGTCATACCTTAGTCTTATGTGAACACGGAACCTGTAAAGGGTCCGAAACGTCAATAAAATTTAATAGAAACGCGATGAAACCGTTTAAATCTGTTTCATTTATGGATAGTGAACACGAAAATGAAATCAATGTTATAAATTTTGTAAATTGTAATATTTGGCTCATCCGTCTCATAACGCCCCTCCTACTCATATCAGAACTTGGAGAGTTCAACCTTATGCATACATAAAACGATATTCGTTGTAGAGTGCCGTGACGTCATAGCGACGCCACGACACGCCGCGTTTTCGCGGGAAATGTTAAAAAATAAATTTATTTTTAGATTTTAACTTATTATTTGAATATTTTTTTAGATATAAAGAAAAATATAAAAAAATTGTCTACACCCCTGTTGTTTGGAATGGGACATTCTTTTTACGGCACTTTATAAATTAGGATTATACAATTAAATATGGCACAAACGCAATACAATTGAGATAAGTACAAAGAATCTCGTTATAATGTAACTCCTCGGTCGGAGGGTGGAAGATATATGAAAAAGAAGAGTCAAGTAACACAAAGGGTATGTTCCGATATACACTGCGAGTACTGCGCAGTGGTCTTACTGCTGAAAAAAATCCGTTATGGACTGCCAGTACACTGCTACAGTACCCTAGGGAAATTCATGACGTCATAAATTGCCGCCATATTTGTACTGTGAGCACTGGAGATTTCGAGGTAAGGTGCTCGCAGTGCTTTTGATCACGTGATCAGTCGAAACAGAATCAGAAAATGATAAGTTTCTAAATAAACAAAAAAAAAACTTACGTTTATTATAAGGTGGATAAATAATTTTTTTATACAATTTTCCAATTTTATAATATTTTCTTTTGAAAAGAGGGAATCTTTATATTTTATTCACCTTGCATTAACAAATTTGAAAATGGCGCCAAAAAATAGGATTAACAGTATACTGGACTGCGTTCCGTTTAAAAAAGTCACCAGTATAACTAGCTATAAAGGAACGGGCTTCCAGTATACTAAATTGACGTCATACTGTTCAGTGGTCGCAGTGTATATCGGAACATACTCAAAATTATAGTGAGATAAAAATATGAAGGAAGTTTGAAAAATGTCGCCTGGGGGCAAATGCACTTTTACAACAACAATTATTTAAGTTTATAAGCATTTATACCTAAGCAATGTTGCTATCTCTGTTTAACACAAGTTTGTTCCAAATTAGTGTTACACGGTTATCATATATTGCAGTCGTCTTTTTTGAAAAACTGTCGCACTACTTTTTCATATACTCATCAGCGAATCAATGTCATTTCTCTAATTAATTTGTAAACCTTGAATAATGTCTGTAGAGTTCAAAATTGATTGTGGAAATTGTAATTTTCCGGTACATTTTGACTTCTTTACCTGATCCACATCACCAGCTGACTTGGGTTCTCTGAATACGATTTTCTTTTTACTGATTGCATCGATATGACCTTTCGTTTTCATATGATCATACAGTATTTGTTCACAAGAATAAGAAGTCAGAAAACACACTATACCACCCGGAACTAAATTACAAATATTTCTTAGTATACAGCAGACTTCGTTTAACTGCAAACATAGAAATAAATATCTATTTAGATTTTTCAAAGTAACAACTCTTTAATTATATAAATTTTATTTATATTAATTAATTATAGTAGAGAGAAAAGAAACACGTTTCGGAAGGCACATCAAGCCCCGGCTGCATATGCAGTCGATAATACCCTTTAATTTGCATTGGGCCAGAATGGAGGTTTATAGCCCATTCTCCTTAAGCATTCATAAGGAAGGCCTGGGCCCCTGCAGAGGGGATGTAAAAAGGGCTGATGATGATAATGAAATATAGAGAAAATGCATTATAATTATATAATGCATTCGTGATAGGTCGTGGCCCATTCTCCTTATTCAATTTGATTCGATTCCATCCACAGAGAAGGTCTGAGCCTCAGCAGAGGGGATATTTATAAGCTGGTGATGATGAAACCAACTCAGATAACACGATTGAAGACAAAGTAAACGGAGTTCTACTCACGAATTTAGGGTCAGTGCGATTGTTATATGTGAAGGAGAGATTTTGGAGTGTCGGTCCACTAGTTAGTGCGAGTGCTAATACATTTTGAGGTGATACCACATGTCCGCAGCGTACTATATTTACTCCCACCACGCGTTCCTCACATAACTCTCCTTGTCGCTCTCCACCCGATAGTAACTCAACAAATTCTGATACCGGTTCCATAGTTCCCCCTGCCAATATCACCTACCGAGCAACTGCTCTGTTATTATTAGTCGCCAATTAGAAATAAAACGCATAGCGGCGTAGATGGCAGTACTATCACATGTAGTAAACTAATCATATCAACATTCATTCTTTTCTTACTAAATCAGTCGTAGTCTAGGATGAGGGTTTATTGATGGCGTATTTACTAGAACAGATCTACTAGGTATTTTACAATACTAAGCTGCACTTGTTATAATTTTGTAAATACTTAATCCATCTAGTATTTCTATAAGTAACACAATTTTCGACACTAACATAAACAGCTAGAGATCATAATTGCATGCACGTGTCATGCTATCTATAATTTTTAAATATAAATCTACTAATCTAATTTTACCACTTATTACGTGACACTACTAATACTAGTAGTATTAGTATTAAGTATATTACAATACTAGGCAAAATATTTGATCGACGAAGTATTTCTCTAAATCGTACGATTGTACGATATTTGCATGTACATGTCATTCCCATCTAGTATATTTGTCCATATTATAATATTCGATTTTAACACAACGAAGTATTTATAGTTAGGTAACTGCAATAATTCAAAAATACTATGTAGATTATTTATTTCGATCATATAATTATAAATTACTAGGAATAGGTACACCTAGCAGTCCTAGTACCAAATTTACCTAGTATAACTTCTCCAATTGAAAAACCATACCAATTTTTTTATGGTAACGAGCAAAAAAAGCCTTTCACTGGGAATCATAATTTTCATCCATCTATTCTTCGGTCTTCCTCTCCTTACATTTACCTCCACATTAATGCTCATAACTTTTTTGTTACATGTAAATCAGCTTATCAAATGCTTCATACCAAGATGAATATACTTCTTAATTCCTCTGTCACTGGCATTACTTCCAAACTTTTTCTATAATATTGTATGTACTCACCGAACGGCAGTCCGAGACTAGTTGCTGGAATGATAGTGCAGGGTTCAACAACAGATACTTAAATAGTCCATCTGTGGACGATCGTTGTACCAAAATTCGGCCGTGTTCACTGCGCGAACACAACATCTGTAGGAACTCTACCACTGCATACAAACATGTGCCGGGTGACACTTCTGACTGAGCCTGAATAGGGTTTAATGTGACATTATAATGACTGAGTGACTAGCTAACTAGCGTGATCTAGTTTTCATACTTCCAAGTTCATAAATGTGAAAAGTCCACAAAGAAAGTCATGAAAGAAACACCTGTACCAACATGTGTGTATGTATTTGTTTTGTACCTCAATATTCTTTGGGATTTCCTGGTCTACTTCAGTTTCTGCTTCTGCTTTTTTACCAGACATATTTTTCAAGAATGTCTCTAATGATCTCTTCTTATCTGAGCTCTTGGTCGTTTCCAGCGTCCGCCGCGCGTGTCTCGTAGAGAAGCCATGTAGTTTCCGTGCCAATCTCGACGTTTTACAAAACTCAACAATGTTTTGCAAATTCAAATGATCTATTTCAGCTTTTATGACGAAATCTTCCAAGGTAAGTATGTGAGTTTCTTCAGACTTTTTCCCATCATTGGGTATTTTGTTCAATAAACCTAAACAATGAAGACAAGAGTTATATCGGTAAAATTAACTAACTAAACTTTATAGGAGTGTTGGGTTCTCTATTCCACTAATAATGTTAAATACGAAGGTTTGTATTTCATCACTCGACAAACAATACGGGTTTCATTTCCTTCAATGTTTGCCAAGCCATAAATTAACAGAAAAGCAAATTTTTTTGTTCCTAATTAAAACCAGCAGTTATGTTTAAGTGATTTTATCATAAAATCTAGCCTGGGATAAATACGTATGCCTGAAAGATGTTAGTATGAAAATTCACCGAGCAATTTGTTGGCGCTGTTTAAAGTGCCAGCAAGTTGACGTTGGACTGAAATATGTGCTCGAGATCAGTAAAATAGCGACGCGTATATAACAAGCAGTTATGTTCGAGTGACTGGATCATGAAATCAAGTGTTGCTGGTACTGCTCCATAGATGTTGTCACCTTATTATATAAGCTAGATCTTAGACCTAAGATCCTAAGATAAATATGCGCCTGAAAGAAGTTAGTATCAATACTCACCAAGTAATTTGTTGACCACGAATTGCAGACGATTAAGCGCCAGCAAGTTGGCGCTGGAGAGTCGACTGGAATATGTGCTTGAGTACAGTAAAATGGCGGCGCGCACGGCAGACAGACGCGCTGCAGATAGAGGCGCGCACTGTGCCTGCTGCAACGCTGCACTTATGCCGTGCGCTTCATCCACTATCAGTACATTGTCACGTAACCGTAACGACGATCCACCACCACTCACAACGCCCGCGTGACTCAACAACACTACCTATCAATGAAAAAATAACTGAATACTGACGACTGTTCATGTTCTTACATCGCTAATAGACTAAGAGATCGTGACAAAGCTTAAGCTTGATATTTCAGTATGTGGAAAGACTAAGGGTATACTCCACAGGCTGGATGAAACAGAAACTACTCACGGGCGTCATGTTTGACAAGAAAATGCGTACGACCAAAGGTATAAGACAATAATCAGACCTCCTGTATTATCGGAGTGCTGTACAACAAACACCTTAATAAGTTGCATACCAACAGAATGCGCATGCTTCGATGGTTAGCAAGTGTCACACTCCTTGATAGAATCCGAAACGAGTATGTCAGACAAACTTTCAGAGATACTCTAATAATCGACAAGTCAAAGAAAAACGCCTGAAAAAGAAAAATGTTATATCCACGTTCAAAGACCACACAGTAATATTGGCCTTGAATATTGGGGGCAGCTCACGGCAACCACGTGGCCGTGGAAGACCACTCACCACTTGGCTGACAACGGTCGAGAAAGACCTCAGAGAGGCAAATAACGATGCAGCACATAACTGTGCTGGAAAATGCAGACGAGGAAGACCGACTCCAAGTCAATAGAACCGCAGTCTACAATCAAAAAGAAGAATACATCATTCAGTACTAGTGCGGAGGCTAGGTGCTGAAACACCTGGTGGTGGCGGGGTAATGTAAAGTACGAAAAATCTTAACGCATATAAGGTGCTTTTTAATAGTTTTTATTTAGCGAAAAACTTATTCTTAATATAGACGATCTCATATAACGACTTAGCAGATCGTTGGTGTGAAAATGAGCTTCCAAAGAGTTTCATAATTGAAAATTTATTACTAAATTATTAGTAGTAAGTTTATAAAAAAAATACTCATACTTGCCTGCGGAGGGCACTGAGTAATATCTACTCTTAACACTTCAACATACTGAAACAAAAAGCTTTAGGAAGCCCTTGCACATTTGTCACGAGGTCTCTGTTTGTAACAACAACAACAACAACAAAATAATCCAAAATGACAGTTATGTTAATGTGTAATTTATTGATTGAATCCCTAAATGATATACAGGGTTATTTCTTAAACACTAGCAACATAAAGCCAGAATATGTAATTCTCCCTATTTGATTAGATTTCATCCATAGAAAAGGCCTGAACCCTGGAAATGGGGACATTAATAGGCTGATGATAATATTACACAACATCACAAACATACACCAATCTTATTGGTAATCGGACCTCTGATATGGTGACACCTTCAAACTTGTGTTAGCCACCTTGCTAATAATTAATTAACAAAACTGATGGTATGAATAGAATAGTTGTTACAATGTTGGCTATCTCTCATCCTACAATACTGTAGCAGCATTATTAATAAACAAGGTTAAGCATTGGAGTAAATTTATGTCGAGACGGCACTTAGAATTAGTCAAAATTTATATTATTAAACACAAACTTAACAAAGGTTAACCTAGTATGAGGTTCTATAGGAGTTATATTTACTAAAAGGCAGTAGATTTGCTTAGTCTCTGTATAATATGAATTGAGACTAATACTAAAATTGCAATTTCAGCATAAATTTATATATGCAAGTCACCTCTGCATCATCCAAGGCAGCCTTGCTTGCATAATATGGGCATGCTTTCATTTCTTTTCCTGTTTTTACCAAGTCTTCCATGTCCATTATATCACACAACATTAGTTCTTTCAGGTTATTGATGTTTGTCTGATTATAAAAGGGGCAAGCTTTAGATGTTTTTGTCTTAGTCTTCTTAATAACTTTCCCGTCTTCAGACTTGGATGTTGATTTTGACCTAGAATTTTGCATATCGAGACACCTGTAAAAGAATGTGAAATATTTTAAGTATTTGGCCTTAGAGATTTATCTGTTTTTTTAATCTTACTAAAGAAGTGTAGTTCCAGAAATGACAAATTAATTAGAAAACAAAACCTTTCATTAATGAGATTAATGTTCTTCAACTTTGAAACATCAGTGTTAATACAGTAATGCTGTCTTGATGCTAAAGTTATCACTTTGGTGTTATTCTTAAAAACTGTCCTTTTGATTTCACCCGTCAACTGTGATAGCTGGCTATGAGTTCTACTACTTATATACACCTGAAAAAAATGAAATATGTTTCATAAAAAACAAGATTTTCAACAATTATCTTTTAAATAAGTAACTAATACCTTAAGGCTATGGTCTTCCTCTGATATTGCTTCATCTTCTGATTCATTTTCTTCTTTTCCATCAAAGTCCTCTAAAATAAGATCTTCATCTTCACAAGACATATTGTCATCAATATTTTCTTTATTAAGATCTGCCTCATTTTTGTTTTTATTCACATTTTCACAAAAATACATGTCTTTGGGTTTTGTGTCTAAATTGTGTTTACGTTTTTCAACTTGTGCTTTCATCTCACAGAATTTTTCTTCATATTTTTTTATTTTATCTAATTTATATCGAAGGGTAGCAAGAGTTTGGTTTTTCTGCATTTTTTCATATTCTACCAGAAGCCACTCTTCGTTATCTGAAATTTGTTAGTTATCACAAATTATCAGTCTTGTTTAAGCATAGTTGCCAAACAGAAAGAATTTTGTGATCAAACATATTGCTATTACGCTTACACAGATACATTTAGTAAATTTTGTCATAGTAACCGAAAATATTTATGATATCCACATTTATTTATGATTATGATAGCCACAATGGTCAACATACATAGTTTTTTTTTCATCATAACACATGGCACTAAGGTCACTTTATAATATTGAATATAGTTACGATTATTTAAGTATAATCACTTACCTGAAACTGACACTAATAATTCTTGTTGGATTTTCTCAATTTCCCTTTCCAGGCTAGATATAACTTCACGTTTGTAGTCTTTTAACCATTGCAAAGCAGAACAGCATATACTCAAAGATTTACCCTTTGCAAAAAAAGTTTTAAGACGAAAATAAAACTTTCAAAAGCCAAACAAAAATCACTTTCAATAGTTTATAGATGTACTTACAGTTCCAGTAGGGCTTTCGAAAACACCATGTTTTTTATTTTCCAGAGTAAAGTAGAGTTCTTTCATAAATTTTTCTTGAATTTCGTATGGTTGAATGGGAAAATAAAATGTGGGGTTTTTAGTCTCATTTTCCATTGCAACCAATGTTTGTTGTTGCTTCAGGTCGAATGTATGATTAAAATTGCGAATACTGTCTTCGCCTTTACACCAAACTAACACCCCCTTGCGAAATAAAACTCTCCTACAAAATTGTTCCTGAGGCTCTAATAAATGTATTTCTATTTATTTTACAATTTTATAACATATTAGTATACTTATAATTCGTGTAACTGACTGTTCGTGGTACTGACTGATTCGCGCCAATTCTCGCCTAGTAGGATTGGGCAAAAACTATTGATATATCAAAATTATCGATATTTTTCTGAAAAAATCGATATTAATCAGTGATATTTTTTCCAGAGTTTTATCGACTTTCGTTATTTATGTTCAAATATCAAATTCGTATCTTAATCGATATATTTTTTAAAGTTCTGCTGTCCTCTCATACGTCACATAATGTATTTCTTAAATTTAAAAAGAGTAGGTACGCAGAAGGAAGTATAAGTTTATAAATAACAGTCTATGACCTGCTTGCCTTTTGATTTGTTTTTTTTATGACAATGACACTTACTGATTTGTTTGAATAACGTAATTTTTGTTGTGCTGATGATGTTATTTTCTTGGCTTTATGTTAAATAACAAATAGCCTATTTTAAATAACAAAACAGCCAGGTGTTTATTTGCTTTAAAATTTCGAATAGTTAGACAATTTATATAGATAGTCGCTTATTACGCATAAAATATCGATTCAATATATATCGATATTTTTTCCCATTTGCCTATCCCTAGCGCTAAGTACACACAGACGAGCAAAGAGTAAACTAAATGCACAGAACAAGAAAGAGGTACTTTTAGGCCCCTCGCCCACGGCGACTTTTTGTAGCGATGCAGTCGCGATGCTCTCGCGCGTAGCATCGATACAGACGCGAAGCAGTCGCTAGCTGTGTGCCCGCGCCCACGGGACCAGATTCAGTCGCAATGCAAACGCGGTTCGGTCGCGATGCAAACGCGATTCGGTCGCGATGCAGATACGACACAAAAATCTTTAGAAAAATCATATAACAACAACTGATGACCAGATGGTCATCAGTTGTTGTTATTTGATTTTTGTTTTCTGATTTACTCATTCTAGAACATCTCATCATACTCAACACTCATCTGCGTTTTTAATGATAAAGTACGGTATATGCGAAGTCCGACTCAAGTACATTGTAACACATTTTGTGTGTGCGGAGGTTCCAAAACTAAAGTTAAATAAATAACTTACCACAATCATTCTTTTCTTTATTGGTTTTTTCTCCAAATTCTGCATTGAATAATTCATTTATCTCTTCCCATGCCTTTCTTTTTGCAATCTTATTCGAATACTCAGGAAGACGTGAGTCCCGATCGCGATGCAGTAGTGCGTTAGTAGCGCGACGCGGTCTCGCGCATTTATATCGATACAATCGCGATGCAGTAGTGCGTTAGTAACGCGTTGCAAATGCGACTAACACGCGTTAGAAAAGATGCATATCGCTATCGCTACAAAAAGTCGCCGTGGGCGAGGGGCCTTAACGATTCTAAGATTAGATGAAATTAAAGCATAAAAACAAGATATAGGTAAGAGTTGAAAATTGCTATTTGTCTTCATAATAATGCATTTGAATTTGCATAAACGACTAAATAAGATAACGAGCCCAAACTTGTTTCTTATTTATTGAGGTTATCACAAGTCTTTATCAAGAGTTAAAAAAGAAACTTTTTGACAGGTCAGGTGATCAGAAGGCTGGTTTGTACCTCGCCCAAAGAATTAGTTTAGCTATTCAAAGAGGTAACACTCGCAGCCTTACCTGTACCTTACCTGTAGGCAATGATCTGGGAGACATTTTTAATTTAGTTTAGTTATTATTTTAAGTTTAGATAAGTAGTTTTAATTTAATATGTATTTTAAAAGTAACTTTTTGTTAACTTAAAATAATGATTATTGTAAGTTAATGTCACAAGTTGATTGTTAAACTGGTTACAAAAACAACTGTTGCACAATAAGAACTTTGTTACTTTGAAGAAATGAATAAAAAGGAATCTCGTGTGTTATTTAAGCATTGGCATAAAAATATTTCTGTCCAAACCGAGGCTTGGCTTGATAAACATTCAGACTTTGCACCAAGAAGATCGACCGTAGAAAAGTGGTTCGCTCTATTTAAACGGGGCAAAATGAGCACCGAGGACGATACACATAGTGGACGCCCCAAAGAGGCTGCTACCAACGAAAACATCAAAAAAGTCCACAAAATAATTTTTGATAACCGTAAAGTGAAGTTGATTGAGATAGTTGAGATCCTAAACATAGCAAAGGAACGTGTTGGTGAACTGTATGGTAGCAATGAAACAACCATCGTGTGAGTTAGCTAGTTTATTTGTGGTTTTATGAACTTGTACAATACCTACCATGGAATATTATATGAAGATTGCTTCATTTTATACATATCAGTTGGTCACATCGTGAATGAATATTTAGACATGCGAAGGCTGTTCAAAATGGGTTCCACGCTAGCTCATAATCAACCAAAAATTTTGCGTCGATGTGTGACGATGGCTAACTCATGATTCCATCATTTCACACCGTAGTCCAATCATTAGTCAGTCGAGTGGACTGCACGTAATGAACGAAAAAACAACAAAAGCGTGGAAAGACGCAAAAGTCCGCTGGCAAGTTTATAGTATATTCATTGATTATTTTAAAAAGGGAAAAACCATAAACAAAGACTATTAAGTAGCGTTATTGGAGCATTTAAAAAAGGAAATCGGGAAAAAGCGGCCTCATTTGAAGCAAAAGGAAGTGCTGTTTCGTGACGACAATGCACCTACTGGAAAAGCCTATTTTGAGGCTAAAAACAAATTTTATTATAAAATGGCATCGAATAATTGTATGGCCGCTATAATCGTATCGCCCTGGAAAGGAACTATTGAGCAATAAGATCAACATTTTTTTTTCTGTGCTAGGCTACTAATTTTTTAGCCCACTCAATATATACATTTATATATATATAATTTGGACTACTGATTTACATGTAATCATTCGACTTCTGAGCTTGTAATTTTTACATTCGATATTGGATTTAGAAATATTGGTATATTTAAGATATCAACATATAGATATCACTATTTCTTTGATGTCGGTATGCAATGATTTTTTGGGGATCAATATATCGACATGTACTGACAATATGTTTTTGATATATCGTTATCATCCCCAACTTACATATCCGGCATCGGTATATCCTTCTTGGTCTGTGACTATCTTCATACATGTGTAGGTACTTATGTAAGGTTCAGTAATGAGGAAGTACTGTTGTTTGTAGCCCAAGGTCAAACTAATAGGACTTAAGCCAGCTCCCGTACTGGTTCAACGCGAAAAAACGGACGCCCTTGCGGGGGGGCGGTCGCTCCGGTCGAAGGTTCGTTGCCCCTTCATGGCACGCAACCAACTGTCCAAGGCGGTGTTTAGTCAGTAGGAGTCTGACATAACCTCACAGCCGGCTGTGGGGTATCCAATGAAGGATTCACCGCCTCTTTCCCCCGTTGGGAGGGTGGTTCCGAACCCTTAAGGTTTAGAGCCGAAAAAAAAAGTAAGAAAAAAAAAAGCACCTCACTAGATGGCGACTCTACCAAAAGTTGATTTGCAGGAAGCGAATGAACCAAAGATAGTCATTTTATTAAAAAAACTGAAATTTGCAAAGTTCGAAACTTAGATATCAATACAAATACGAAAATATACAAATAGAATATGAGTTGTTTATTGAGTTTTAAAAATTAATTTACTTTTATACTTGAAAGAAAACCGGAAGTTCGTCATGGAGAAATCTAGAAAGTACCGTAGCGACATCTAGTTTAATTTGGGTCCTAATTTTTTCTTTAAAATACATATTTATTGTGTTCTGTGCATCTGTCAGTATCATGGTACCGTACTATAAAAGTTACTTTCATAGAGTATATTATATAGTGGGTATGTTCCGATATACATTGCGAGCACTGCGCAGTGGTCTTACTGCTGAAAAATCCGTTCCATTATGGACTGCCAGTACACTGCTACAGTACCCTAGGGAAATTTATGACGTCATAAATTGCCACCATATTTGTACTGTGAGCACTGGAGATTTCGAGGTAAGGTGCTCGCAATGCTTTTGATCACGTGATCAGTCGAAACAGAATCAGAAAATGATAAGTTTCTAAATAAACAAAAAAAAAATACTTACGTTTATTATAAGATGGATTTAATTGATAAATAATTTTTTTATACAATTTTATAATATTTTCTTTTGAAAAGAGGGAATCTTTATATTTATATTCACCTTGCATTAACAAATTTGAAAACGGCGCCAAAAAATAAGATTAACAGTATACTGGACTGCGTTCCGTTTTAAAAAGTCACCAGTATAACTAGCTATAAAGGAACGGGCTTCCAGTATACTAAATTGACGTCATATTGTTCAGTGGTCGCAGTGTATATCGGAACATACCCAGTAGTTTTACTGAGTTTTACTCAAAGGTTTTACTCACAGACTTAGTAGGAGTAGGTTTTACTTTATGGTCATGGTTTCAGAGGTGACGTTTCATGTTTAAGTGTCATTGAAAAATTTAATATATTTTGTTAAATTGTTACCCATTCCTTTGTCGTTTTCATTCAATTGATAAATCAAATAGTTCAGTAAATAGAATTAATCTACTGATTACTTCCGTAAGGCTTAACTATTGATTTGGAATTATAAATTGATTAATATACCTATGGCTCATAAGTAAGTTTCTTCATACTCCACTTGGACACTTCTTCATCATGTATTAACACCGTTAAATCCTAAAATTTAGTACTCCATATCCTTTTGATTGCTTTACGACCTGCAAGTTTTGTACATTATTCAGTTTTATATACTTTAAAGAATGGCATTTTTTTTACTAAGTTGGGTTATCTGAATTAGACCTCTTCATTCACACAATCAATCTCTGTTTATAGTATTAAAATTCTACCTGGTGCAACAGTTTGCGAGGACTGTACTTTAGAAGGTGATATCACAATAGGTGGAGGCACTGTTATTCATCCTCGTGTAACTATTGTAGCTGAGGGAGGCCCCATTATTATTGCTGAATACTGCATTATCGAAGAATATTCTACTATTATACATAAGTAAGTAACAGGAAATATTACGGTAAGCTGAATCTAGATGGTAGAAGTTTTGTTAGAAGGAAGGAAGTCATTCATTTCCATAAAACTTATAGAAATCAATGACTCCTTTCCTTTTTACATCCAAATTTGGAAATATATTATGAAATATCATATTTATTATGAACTCAAAAAATATTAAATTCCTACTATGCTTGGTTTTGATTTTTTCTCTTTGCTTTATTTTATTTTTCTTCTTTGCTATTTGAGTAATATAATTTAATTGTTATTGAAATGCATATTTCTTTAAGAATAAAGGAGATACAAGATTTATGTTATGTACTGTGTAACTTGTATAATTTTTCTTTATAATTAATGTTTTATATTGGATTATCATGTTTTAGAAAATGTGACAATCAAGAGACCCCTCCAAAGCCATTGTTTATTGGAGCACATAACGTATTTGAAGTGGGTTCTCGACTGGAGTCTCCATGTGGTCACATAGGTGAAAGCAATGTCTTTGAATGTCGATCTTTTGTTGGTGTTGATGTGAAAATTGGTAGTGGTTGTGTTATAGGTGATTAAATCTTTTTCTTATTTTTTTTATCATGTTTATGACAGTTTGTTGATGATTAAAATTAAATATAATGTTACAGGTGCAGCTTGTCATTTGAGTGCACCCCAAAGCTTGGTTGATAATACTGTTGTTTGGGGTTCAGAACATCATGTAAGAGAAGCATTAGAAAAGCAACCTTCTCAACTTCTTCAACTAGACTTTTTAAGTAAAGTGATGCCTAATTACCATAGGTTAAGAAAACCTAATGTTCATAAAAGGCCACCTGCATCCAGACAGTCACAGGAATCATCTACAAAATCTTAGATCTCATTTTTCAATTTTAATATTTCCATTTCAGTATAATTCTTTAAAACTATAAATTATTAATGTAAGAGTATGATACATAGATAAATATATTTAATAAATATGAAATAACTTATTATGTAATAAAGTATATTAACAAACCACCAGTATTTTAATGGACCATATCTATTAGGATTAATAGTACTATAGCTAAATAAAATATGATGCATTAAGACTCTTTCCTTAAGGCTGGTTTATACGTATTAACTTGATAAGAATAGAAAGTAAATTGTCAACTTTAAAGATACTTTTACCCCAACCAACCTTATTATCTAAAAATAAGCATAAAACTAACTTCAATAAGTGATTTCATCTAAATAAAAATATATAGCAGTTGGTTAGGGATTTATTAAAAATTAATCACAGAATACTAAAATCACGCGAAGACCGGTCACCCAGGCATTTCTTAGGAGATTGAGCTTCCGGTTTGATAAATCCATCTTTATCTTTCTTCACCAATAATTTATATTTTACAAAAATCGATATCAGTGACCTAATTGTCTAATTTTATAATCTATCGAAATCTCTTTCCAAGTGGAATTATCTACATTTTAAAGTAGCGATCGCTTTCGGAACGAATGATGACTTAAATAATCAAAAACTTAATAAAAAAGTTTATGGTTTGCCTTGACTGACAGTAAGTATATCTTCCAATCGGTCTCAAAAAAAAAAAGTAGCGATGGTAATCGCTTTCATATGTGAAAAAGTAGTAGCGTGAAGTTGGTAAATATCTTTTAAATTCCAAATTGTAAGAAGTAATTATAATTCTTATTGAAATAGCGTTGTGAATGCGAAATTGATCAAATATAATTATAAAAATATAGTCAAGATTCATTATTTTTCATAGAGATAAGTTATAATTTTTTGAGGAACGGTAATGACGGGTGGTCGGGTGTATTGTGATCACACCTAAAGTTCGGTTTTCGCGGAATCGCGCCACTAAGGTTGGCCAAAAGAGTAAAGTTTAATTGGCAACCTAAAGTAGGAATTATAGATTAAGGGGGCAGTTAAACCATAGAAAAGCTTGAATAGTCGAATCGAACGGCCAATCAATGCGTGTACCGATTCTGATACGCTTCTGTTACGTTAAGCCACAACACAATATATCACCAAAATGTGTTTCCGCCCTAAAGCTGTTCAGGATATTTATAAGTTGGTAATTCTAATAAAAAAAAAATAATGAAAACAAGATGTCGTTTTTGACGAACACCCATCGATTTCTTTAATTTTGAGAAACTTGTTTCTTTTGTTACATCTGCTGTTATTATTCTGTTTAAAATAATTTTGAGTGTATGTTTTGGGTTTTAGAAGTAAAAGTCGTAAAAATTCTCTTTGCCATTATTTTGAAGAACACAACTGGCACATTGGTTTCTATTGTTATCAGTTTTACTTTCTACATACAACAGTTTTTATAACGTGAATTTAAAAGTATTAACATTATTAAAATCAAATAGATTTTCTAGACATAATTTATAGGTGGGCATGTTTTTTAGTTTATTTGGACGCCATGTTGGCAATGTTGTTATTTACCCGTTGATAATGTACAGGGTTGCATTGTAGTGATATGTGTATATTAGTTTGTGCCTCCTCCACCTCAGTGTGAGCATGTTGGAAGATGTGCCTGTCCATGGAAGTCGCTGTGAACAAAAAGTCACAAAAGCCCCCATGCATCAAAGAAATTTTAGTTTGGACTTCAGGTAAGATTTATTACATATTTTTAGTATAGATTTAGATTTGGAAATCAAATGTGTTATTGATATAATAGAAATTGTATTATTATAAGAAAACATGATAAGGGCATTTCTGAATTCAAAGGCATGTCATCTTTTGCCAAGAATATCAATTACCTCTATGCATAACAAAACTAACAGTACATAAGTGTAAGTAATGGAGAAATGTTCCTTTGTTAGTTAATTTTCCGTAAACACCTCTAACAAGTTTCTGATTGATGTACCAATGCTCGCAGTTGGCAATGATGATTTCTGAAGGCCCCTATGGTTCCATTTATGTGATGACACACTGTGGCATTGTTTATACAAAATTGTCTTTAAGAGATAAGTATTAGGATGATTGATATGAAAAAGCTAGAAAACTACATCCAACATTTTTTAAGATCTTGTTTTGCTTGTTCTATTTATGGTTGATATAAATGTCTACTTTGATAAAGAGCTGGTAAGTTTCTTTTGCTTGTTCTTCTTGTCAGTCATAAGACAGCCTGAATGAGTGGCAGGGGAAAAAATAAGACAATCAAAAGTGCTTGGAAGAAGTGTATTTGAATATTTTATTTTTATTTGCCATGTAGAGCAGTCACAGGCTAGCCTTATATCCAGACTAAATAATAAACTTAACAAAATTGCCTGTAAATTCTAAAAAGTGGGAAAATCTTTAGGCAACATATAAAACTTTCCTTTATTAAACATATCATTTTAGATTCCCAACATTTTTTGTGAAAACAAAGTTTAGATAACTTTTTGTTTAAAAATTTCTCATTTTGATTTAAAAATTTCTCACTTATAATATATGTGATTAAATATTTATAATAGATACCTATGAATAATATAAATTATTTGTTGATTCATTCCTTAATGCTAATCATCCACACTTATCTGAGGTTAAAACTTAGTAATTATTGCCTAATATTATCATTAATTAAACTAACAATTAAGTTAATAGAGTTACTTTCAAGCCCCAAGGCAGAACAACAAGCGACACTGCGACATTGTCGCAGACAGCCGAGTAGGTCTGCAGACAGTTTGGCAGTCTTACATAAATAAAAAAATTACACTAGCAGAAACAGAATTTTATTTTCAGGTTTTTATAATCTGTCGCAGACAGATCAAACCCTTCTGCTATGGGGCTTTCAAGGTTAAGGTATAGGATTGTGCATGGTGAGAGAGCATTAAGCACCATGTTCGTCAAGTATACAATAAAATATATGATTTTAAATAATTATTAAAAATTGTGTTTATAATTTTTTAAAATATTGATAACAATAATAAGGAAACTTTATTTTTGAGACTTAATGGGACTAAGCCAAGTCCATGATGTTTAGGTACTGTTGCAAGCGCCATGAACATGGCATAAGTAAATATTAGGGTAGTAAATATTTAGAAAAACCGATTGTACATACCTATAAATGAATGATGACAGGCATAAAACCATTTTGAATGATATAATATGTTTGTTATAATAATGTCCTCATATCCAGTAAAAAAAAAAAGCTTTAAAAGGTGAAAATTTCAATTAATATTTTATTGTATTTTAAAATAATAATATAATTTTACTTTGGTAACATAATGAAAATGACCAATAAGCTAGTAACATCAATAAATAATCCCAAAGTTTAAGATGTGTATTGAATATTTAGATGAACATGTTTAAATGGTCATTACTTTTATATATTATCATTTCATGTTATTTTTATCTCTATCATTATGTTTTATCTCTATCATTATGTTTTATTATCACTTTGTGTATGTTGCAGCTATAAACTACTTAGAATAGCCATTTTATTGGATGGCCAGCCCTTTGAGTGGCCAATCAAATGGCTTCATTCAATGGCATGGCTAAACGTCAATTGGCTGAATAGTTGTAAAACATTGTACAGCGTGGCTGCAGCTAGACAAAGACTTTTCAAGTGGTTATATAATTATTATTTACTAACTAAAACAGTATTATGCAAATAGAATATCTAAATATCAGTGATAACTGACCTATATGGGATCAGATTTTTTTTTTAACTTTTTTAATTAATCAATAATGTTTTTTGTAAATAAGCCTTATTACTAAATCCAAAAGTATGTTTAAAATGCAACTGTTTTAAGGCGTGGAAGATGTGACATCGTTTGTGGTATAAACATAAGGGATTTTCAGTAAAAAAATAATTATCCTATATGCTGTTTTCATATTCAAACACACAAAACGCAAAAGTGACCCTTGGAAACTGCTAAACATTTATCCATTAATTTTTTATTATATATGTTATATTGGCCGATATCTAGGGGACTCTATAAATATATGGTACATAGTAGCAATCCTGTAATTAACAACCATTATAATGTTAATTGCAACATATACACATATCACCATTGAAGTGATAGCTTATAAAGCCAGACCATAAATGAGAATGGCATTAGTATACCAAGCTGAATTGTGATACAAATGCGGAATAATCAATAGTGTAATGAGAACATTATGGGTTTACTGACCAATTCGTATCATATGGAAATGGTAATGAGGATCAGAAATCATTGTAGTGTTTGAATGTAGCACAAGAGTTGGTCGATCGCTGGGCGGTTAGGTGAACGGACGGGGCGAAAGTAAAAGTGGTCGACGACGGACAGAACGTGTTGGCGACGCGACGGATCTAACGCTTAACAATTTCCTGAGGAGCTATCTCGTCATAATTAAGTTGCACATATTAACGTGAGCTATTTCTCATAATTAACTACGTGCAGTCATCATTACCCCATCCTGGAATGTTACTCTCTCACGGCGGCGCAATAGCAAATTGGAAAGCTGTCAGAGAAATGTTTTTACAAAGTAGACAATGGGAAATGTAATTTTAATAATTATCGTACGAAAATGTTATGAGTTATCAATGGCTATGTTTCTCATCCTACGTTGATAGAAGAATCTAGAGTCTCAATCGTTTGGTCAGCAGGTTTACCGTGCAACTTCTCCGATATGAACTTCAGGTTGATTCTGACATTCTAATTACTTTTTTATATTTGTTGTAATGCGTAACTTGATTAAAAGAACAGTTCCAACGTTAAAAGTGGACTGAAGAGAATGCTCTCGTTGATAGTATGACCATTCAAAGTGGTTGCACTATACACGATAAAGACTACAATCACTACAACAATCTCTCGTGTGTTGATTGTGCTATTGGGTGGTTGCTTTTCTTTTTATGCTAGGACTAAGAACTAAAATTAAAAGTTCAGCGTACGGAAGGCTCTATACCTTCGTCTATGGTCTTTGGTAAATCACATACTAACACACAATACAAAACCATATTTCATATTGAAGATCCGCGAAATTTTATATCCGCAATCAGTAATTCTACATCCTTGTTTCCTAAAACAATATTATAAAATTGATGTTATTCTTTTTAATCTTCGTCTAACGAAATTCAATGAATAATATATTTGTTAAAACGTAATTTTAGATTTCAATTGTGTTATTTTATGAAATCAGAAAAGGAACAGGACTTTCAATGCTGATTCACGTGAATTCATTTTTCAAGCATATAAAGCTTTCTTATGCGGTCATTAACCATCGCTGCCTTTCTTCAACTGAAACTCGCCTTATTTTAAATTTCGCTGTTTATTTTTTCAGAAGGTTTCTTACCTACAACACGTAGTCACGTCAGTCGTTAAGTACAAATGAATCACCTTAGAAAGTGTTGACCTTTAATCTAGATTTTGAGATTTTCAAAGGGATTATGGTAATTGCGTCTACTTTTTTTTTTGTATAGTTTAGTTGAGTAATTGATCAATTGTAAAACAATCGTTTGTTGTAAATTGATAGTGACCTTGTACAGTGGCGTTGCACGGTGGTCTGAGTGCGACCAAGGCAACGCGTTTAGGATTGGTGTGCTATATTAGTTAGAACTTTTCGAGTCACCAGACGCAAACAAGGTTGTTATTACCGAAAGACCGACTACAAAATAATCAAAAATACTCAGTGGCTACAAAAGCGGTTAACAAATCCAATATATTTCTTTTAAAGATTGAATTTTTAAAGTTTACACAAAATTTTCGTAATGCTTTGTTTTTTGTAGTCTACTTTATACCGTCATGAATTATGTTAAAAATATGAAAACAATACAAGTACCTGATTGACACCTGTTTTAACGATATCTTTTTTTACGGAGTTCAACATAAATGCACGGAAATATGATATTGGTAATTTAATACGATTGCCACTTTTAGCTACTTTTTCAGAATTGGATCTTTCATATGATGAGTCATTTGTGGTGTATGCAATACCAATAGTATGGGGGAATTAAATTTGGTACTTTATCAATTAGTCCAATGATATTGACCCTATTATAAAGGGAATTAACGAAAGAATTTGTGGGACTCTCCAGTAACTGGTCACAATTGTAACGGATAATTAGATTTAACCACCATAATCAGGGTAAAGAATCTGTGTATTGGACTTATAGTAACCATATATCGTTTGGATTATTATATTATACAATACAATTAAATAATGCTGTTATCATTCCAGAATACATTGTTTGTATTATGTCATTATGTATTTGATTAGTGATAGGAATGTTTACATTTATGTTTGTCTGATCATGGTATATGATGATGATGGCTATATTTTCAATATACCTTTGTGGAATCGGTCATGCGACCGTATCATTCCGAGAAAACAAAATCATTTCGCTCTGTCCTCAACTTCTTTAACACCGATTCGGTCATAGTTTTTTATTGTCAGCAAAAAACCTAAGTCATCCGTTACCGTCAACGAAAATAGTTTTCAATAAAAACAGAATAGTTAGTAGGGGAGGGAACCTGTCTCATTTGCGTTTTCATATCATCTTTGTTCTGACGGTGTGGCTTACGGAAAAATTAGCAAAGATTTAGTTTAAATTATTCATTTATAGTTACGATTATAATTAGTACTACCTAGTTGATTTGTTGGTCTATAATTAGTTCGTTTCAGAATACGACGAAACGAAGGA